AATAATAATAATAATAATTATTATTATTATTAACGACAACAGAATAATATTTCAATATAATTTTAATTATATTATTAATAATGATATTTAACTTATTATTATTATTAATGATAACATCACTGTCAAATTCTCTAAATTATCATAAATAACTGAGATACTACTACTACTACTAATAGTAATAATAATATTATTATTATTATTGTTAATGATAAATATTATTAAGAACAAAATAGTATTTCGATATCATAATTTTAATAATGATATTAATAATAACATGATATTTAACATATTATTATTAATAATAATAATACTAACAAAAACATCACTGTCAAAGTCTCTAAATTATAAATAACTAATACCATTATAATAATAATTCCTGATACTACTACTACTACTAATGTCTTAAATTGTATTGCAAAAATGAATGAATACTATAAAATAAACTTGTTTCCTGCAAAGCGCTTCTACCTGTCCAGTAGTTCCCAGTCTTCTCCTCCCCAGCGGTCCTTAAACTCCTCCGTGTTCATCCCACCAATCTTGTCAAAATCAGACTTGTAGATCCCAAACAGGCCGAAGCCGTTCACCTCCCAGTAACCTGCAGACACAGAGCCGTGGGTTTAATGAAGTCCAGTGTGACAGCGGCTGTGTTTGAGCGTGTGTGAGCTGCGTCGTACCGTCAGGCTCCTGCGGTGAGCTGCCGCAGCCCAGTCTCATTACTATCGGAGCGAAGGCCAGTTTGCCCTCCACACAGTGCTTCCTGATGTTCTCCAGGATGTTCAGAGGGAAATGAATGTGCAGGTCACACAGAAACACGATGCTGTGACTGTCCTGCAAACACACATCAGCCCACACTGCTACAGTACTGAACTACACGACTGATTAAACACATCCTGCTCGTCAGCTTTGTTACATTATAGCAAAAGCCACATTTTACACTCATTAACACGAGGAGGATTCCTAGAAACGGTTGTCTCTGCAAACAGTGAATCACTGATAATCTCACTCGTGTTGAGCTTACAGGTTTAATCGCTGCATGGGGAACTGTGACATAATGCTGGAATTCAGACTCATTTTTGATTTTATGAAAGATGCATCTTTTGCCAATTGATTGCAAATCCATGTTAAAAAAACAAACAAAAAAAAAAAAAACTGAATCTTGGTAGTTTGGGAACTAAAGCTACATTTGTTTATACAGTATTTTCTAAACACTTGATAACATTGATAATATGTTTATATATATAAAAAAATTATTTCACACTTTAGCCAAAGCATTTTACATCAGTACATAATATGATTTCTGGGAATCGAACCCATGACCTTGGCATTCCTAGATCCACCAGTTGAGCAACAGGAACAATTTGTGTGCCGTTATGCACTTTACCACAGATATGAAACATTACTGAGAATGTCTGAACATCTACAATGTGTTATTCTGGAATTATAATAAATCCGATTTGAAATCAGATCATCTGAAAGCTGTGAGTGTATGATTACCTCTATGGTGTCCACACCGATCTGTAACCCAGCAGAACGTTCAAAGTTTCCTTCTCTCCTCAGATACTCATATCTGTGTACACAAGAGTCCAGAAAAATAGAAATACAACAGTAATATGCCTCTGTTTTATATGCTAAATACACAAATATCCATCTGAGTATATAATTAGCTCTATTAACTATAAATAGTCTATTAATATATATTAAATATTAAAAAAATATATTCAATTAATATATTATATATATATTTTTTACTAATCAATATATAACAATCTTATAATAAATATATAAACAAACACACACACACGTTAGGTTTCTGTGAAGTCTGGGGA